GAAAGAGGAGAGCCTGGAGGGGAGCTGAGACACTTTGTCCTTTGAGCCAGGCGCACTGGGGTACCTTGGAACTGCAAACATTAGCACCTGCGTGGCTCTGTGTTACTGTGTAACATCTCAGTGCCCACACTGTCAGCTCTTCATGGGTAGGAAGTATTATCAGGTGCTTTTTTGTTGTATACTCTTTTCCTCCCTACCCGTTCCCAACTTAGTGCTAAATGCAATTTTAAGAAAAGGTAAGCATGTAATTCTGAGTGAACTGAGTTTAATGCTGGCATATTTATGAGAAATTTGATAGTTGGAACCTGAGGTTGTTTGATGTCATTTTAAAATTGTTTTATATCTAACTTTCTTATTTTAGATTTAAAGGTACAATTGAGGAACTCAGTAACCAGATTTTATCTGCACGAAATTGGTTGCAACAGGAACAAGAACGGATAGAAAAAGAACTTCTACAAAAAATCGATCAGCTTTCCTTGGTTGTTAAGGAAAACAGTGTAGGTATTGAAGTTTAGCAATAACATATTAAAGTTATTTGGTGGGAGTCTGGAGTGTTCGAGTAATATCTAGTAAATTATCATTGATTTATTTAGCACCACATTAATCTCTTCAACTGTGTCTTGCCTTAGAATCCATTTCCATCGTTCGTGTTGATTCTTTGTATTTGTTATAAAGAAATGGACCACTTTGACTTATTTTGAATACCAAATACTAAGTAGAAAATTTCAATATATTCAGCTAAGACGAATTAAAGTCAAGACCATAATGAACCAAATAGTCCATCTACTTTTCTAAATGAAACTAATACTTAGAAACTTCATCCTAGCTTGTTCTAATTTCATGATCTGGTAAAAACACTATTGACTAGATTTCTCCCTCCAAGCCCTTCCAGTACACAGTTACCACAGTATGAGATGTCATGGTGCAACCTGTAATGAGAATTCACTGTTTTCTTTTCTACCTTCCTTTTCCTTTTACCTCACTCTCCCATAGGACTAAGATGTGCAGAACTGCTCGAAACCAATATCCAGAAAACCTTGCATATATAGTATTAAAAATCAGTAGACTGTGAAACCGGAATTTGCAAATTTTTTGGTTTGGTTATTTAGCCTGACCATCTCCCTCTCCCTTCTCTTTTCTTCCACTGCTTCTTCCTGTTGGACTTTGATGGAGCAGAAGTGACTGGTGCAGTTTGCATCTCTGGCTCTGCTCTCTCTCAATGCCCAGCTGTTGAATTGCAGATTCTGCATCGAATAGCATCAAAGAGCTTTATCACGCCATAGCCCACTTACAGCTTGGTGTTTGTAGTCCTGACCGCTAAAGCTTACCTGCAGATACAGATTCCCATAAAAATGAAGCATAGTCGAATGGAAAGGAAAGGAAATATTTAATATGCCAAATATTTTTAGTTGTCCTCCATATTTTCATCAGATCTACTGATTGATTTACTTAGATTCATACTAATACATTTTGTAGGTTTCTGGGTCTTGGATCACTGTTATTTTTATACGAGGATTGGTTTAACAACTAACAGTAAACCCCAGGACATTGGTGGCTTTAATAATATAGAAAGTTATTTCTCTTTCATATAGAACATGTCTGGGTGTAGAGATTGCAGGGCTGATGTAATAGCTCGTCAGTCCTCAGTGATCCAGGATCCTCCTCATTTAACTTTCTTCAATCCTAGAGAGTGACCCTGGTCCTCAGAGTTCAACATGGCTGTTAGAGCTCCAGTCATTACGTCTGAATTCCAGGAACAGAAGAAAGAAGGAAAGGGCAAGGATATGCCTCAGCTGTCTTTTAACTTTTCCTGGAAGCTACCACGTACACTTACACTTACATCTCATTGGCCACAACTTAATCATATGGCTACCCCAAACTCAGGAAACAGAAAATGTCATCTTTATTCTGGGTGACCTTAAACCCAGCTGAAAATTGGGAGAAAGGGAGAATGGATATTAGGGTGAGCAATGAGCAACCTCTGTGATTCTGTTCCCTGCAGACTGTTTTTAAATGATATAATGGATGCAAACGCAATGCAGACTTTCTTTTTGGAATAATCAAGTGCAATTCTTATCATGGATCTCAGGGAGCCAGTGAAAGGGACATGGAGAAGAAGCTCAACCAGATGTCAGCCAGACTTGACAAGATAGAAGAGAGTCAAAAGAAGCATATGGAAGTGCAGAAAACAAAACAAGAAGAGGAGAAGGTGCACGGGCGAATCAGCAAGCTGGAATTACAGATGAGTGAGGACATGAAGGAAATGAAAGCGGAAGTTGATGCTGGTAGGCCACAAAGAAAACAGCTCTCGTGGTTTATGTTCTATTTGATGTAAAAAAACAAGTAATTAGTATTCCCCTACAACTGACTATGAACCTAGCTAATGGTAATAACATGATGTCCTTAGGTGATTTCCTAAGTAGCTGTGCTGTATTGGACTAAAACATTGTTTCAGTTCTACGTACACAAGAACCACCATGAGGGACAAACAGAAGGAAAATCGCTTAGCTTGCAATTGATGTGCACTTTCTTTAGTGCTATTTGTGGATTCTTTCCATTCATAGCCAAGGTCAATATCTCAGAAATAAGCGCATATCTTTGAGGGGCTTTCAAGGCTTTATTTTAAACTGCTGGCAGCAGAGGAATGATTTTCCTCTAATCAGAAGTCAGCAGGGCCCATTAATTTGCACTTATTTAGAAGAAAATATTAGAGCTGATTTCAACTGCTGAAACACTGTCATATAAAGGAGTGATTAGATTTCCACTCTGAGTCAGGAATACAGAACTGGAACTAATAAGTAAAAGTTGCCAAAGACAGATTTTTAAGACCACATGAGGCAGAAGTACAGCAGGTCCTCAAACAAAGTCATTTTGTTTAATGTTTTGTTATAATGTTGATGACATGCCCTAGGAACTTAATTCTTATTTATATCAATTAGCCTACTGTAAAATTGGTTTCGTTATAGTCGGTTTGCTTAAAATCGCATAACCTATCAACAACGTTAAGTGAGGACTCACTGTATCCTCGATTAAGGGTCCTAAAAAGATATTGGTGGCTCTGTGAACATGACAACTCTGCTAATGGAAGTATTCAAGTGGAGGCTGGTTGATCGTGGTCAGGAAAGAGAAGACAGTCTCGTAATGTGAGAAGGGGGACTAAATTACTTCCTAGCTCCTTCAAATTCTGTGATTGCATAATTTTCTTCTGTGGAACTATTGTATTTCGGCCACATGGAGATAAAAGTAGTTAGTTATCCCAAGGATAATTTTGTTGTTACCACCAAATTTTATTATTTAAGTAGAAGCCACAGTTAAATTTATGAATTGAAGAACTTGTAAAGATAAAAATGAATTTTCTTTCTTGATCTTTTGGACTGCTAAAATATGGTATTTGAATGTTTCATCAGTGTTTAACTTTGCATCATTTCCTGAGTGAATTTATCATTTATTCAATATACCATTGATGTTTTTAATATTTAGTATCTAATAAGAAAATCATAGGAACCTTTTTAATATTATAAATATTTTTTATTACAAAATCCATACATTTCTTAATGGAAAAATCATAAAGCATAAAATATTTTTAAAATACCTCCTTTCACCCAGAGATCATTTTTCTGTTTATCTTTCTATACATATAAGATATATACTTTTTAAAATGAAAGCTCATGTTATACATGCTGATTTGTAGCCTACTTTTTTATTTAATTATGTGTTGTATCTTTCCATTCAATAAGAACAGTATTTTAATACATGTTTATACCTCTTTTTCATGAATGCTACATAAAGAAAATTTTATGAGAGAAATTCTAAATTTACTAACAAAGACAAGACCTTTCAAAAATTTATTTTAAAAATCAGTAGGAATACAGAATGATATGAAATACTCTTTTGATAGAGAATTTTTTCTTTTTTGTCTTTTTATTTTGAAATAATTTCAACTTTAGAAAACTAAAAGAATAATCCAAAAACTCTACATATCTTTAGTCTAGATTAACTGATAAACATTTGGGAAATTTGCTTAATCTCTTGCTCTCTGTGTTTGTTTGTGTATGTGTGTGCATGTGTTTATGTGTCTATGTGTACATAAATGTCATTTTTTCCCTAAATCATTTGGGATTACATTGCAGAAATTGTGCTTCTTTATTATTTCAAACCATATACTTTAAGAACAAGGACATTCTCTTAAATAACTGTAGCACAGTATAACATGGATGAAATATTTTTCAATATTCAATTTTAGGCTTTTGCCATTGTTTGCTTCATAGCAAAGCTTCCCTGGTCTAGGTTCTAACGCAGAATCTCACATCATATACAGGTATCATGCTTCCTTATTTAGTCTCATTTAATTTAGATCAGTTCTTCAGTGATGTTGACATCATTAAAAAATACAGGCCAGTCTTTTGGGGAATGTCCCGTAGGTTGGGTCTGTTTGCTTCCCCTCAGTTAGATGCAGGTTGTAGGTTTTGGACAGATACAGCACGGAAGTGATGTGTCTGTCCTTCCCAGAGCACCCTGGCAGGGGGTACATGATATTGGTTTCTCCAGCATTGGTGAAGTTAGCTTTGGTCATTTGGTTAAAGCGTAACAGCCAGATTTCTTCATAGTAATAGTTCCTTTACCCCTTTGTAATTACAAAGTAATCTTTAGAGAGATACTCTGAAAATATGTAACTATTCTGTTAACCATCAAACTTCACTCCAGTAATTTTAGCATCTACTGATAATTTTTGCCCAAATCAACTATTACTATATGCTGTAGAATTTGATACAGCGTTGTTTTTTAATATTAACTCTTGTGAAATTTGCCTCTCTTTAAAGGATTTACAGCCATCTATGAAAGCATAGGAACTCTCAGGCAAGTTCTCGAAGCCAAGATGAAGCTGGACAAGGATCAGTTACAGAAGCAAATCCAACAGATGCAGAAGCCGGAAGCTCCCATGTGAAGGGAGTTGGGACAAGGACCTCAAAGGCGGTTTTGTCAGTGGGGCTGGGAGCTAGACGCCTCTGTAGCCAAGCTGTTGTGGCATTCAGGATTGTTCTAGTCATGGCGTGCATGTGCCAAGAAATGTGTTTTCATGGGTCTAAATGTTTACCTTCCGTCTTGAAAACACTCTATCTTTAAAAGTATTAAATACAATTTTTACCACTTTATGCCACTTCTCTAAATTTAATGAGATATCCCCACCCCCATATTTGGAAAGGCTTTTATCCCCTACATTTTATGAAGGAAAATACTTAATTTAACTTCAATGCTTGATGCTCTAGCCAAGACTTTACTATTTTGAAAAATGTCATGGTAACTTTTTAAATTAAGAAACTAACGAATTGTCACAGAAATTTGTTGCTCTTCACCCTAAATTAAGAGAATGTCCTGTTAGATTAGAATTCAGCCTTTGAGTCCATATTTGGATTTTATTATTGTTGTCTCTGCATTTCTTATATTGGTTATCTTCTCGTAAATCTCATCTTTTGTAGGGAGAAGGGACTTAACATTTGGGGAAAAAACACCATTTTTATAATGAAAATAGATTAAAAATTGATAACTGCCATATAGATTGCAAATTGAAACGGAAACTTAAGACAATTATCTAGATAATACAAGGCACAATATTTACAGCAACCACCTAGTTATACCAGGTTTTAATATTGAAAACTTTTTTCAATTACCCACAGCCTGTGTAGTGATAGCCATATACTTAATAATGAAATGGTGGTTAATAGTCTATTATACAGTTGTTCATCATAATAGGATGTGAGGGTTTTCAGGCTTTATGATCGCCTCTCTAAATATTTCCAAAATTGGCACAAAGTGCTAAGGTTTATATATACTTACTATATTCTTGTGCCTTGGTTTTATCGCGTCAATGCACTATTCCCTATAAAGTTTTGCAGACAAAATAGAAGGCATGATATGCATCAGAATTATGATGTAAAAATGGGATCCTATGTATTTTTTAAATTCTAAAAATTTTATCACTGTTAAGACATTAATCAATGAGTATTATTAACAAAATAGAAATTCACACTTTTGTATGGACAGAGAATCAAGTTGATATTGCATTTATAACACTGTCAAGTAACTTTCATTTTGAGCAACTTTGTAGACGATGGGTGTTTCATTTTCAATCGCCATATTTGATTAGTCATCGAAAATTGGCACCAGTGCTGTTTGTTCACCTATGTATGTAAAACTGATAGTGAGACACACATTGTCGTAAACTGTGAGGGTGCCCAGGAGAAAGAAAACAGGAGTACTTTTAAAAACTTTTTTTTGTTTGTTTGCTGAGGACTCAGGAAAATTAAAGCGTTTTCTATTTTTGGGATAAATCATAAATGAAATATCTAACTGGCTATTACTGTTTACCCATATAAAATATGCTGCTAAAGTACATAATATTTTACCCTCAATGACTTGACAAAAAATTTTTTTTTTTAAATTTGGACCTGAGAAGTCATATAAGGAATATGTCACCCAACACATATTTCCTTATTTTGTCATGAACCTTTGCATCTCTATATAGGAAAACTATTTCCACTTAACAACAACAACAACAACAAAAGGTTAATGCTCTTTTGCAATCAGAAAATGAATTTCTTTTTGTGATAGAGTAACCATGTTGTCAGTTCTCCACGTTTAAGCACAAGCCACAGCACAGAGATCCATGGCCCTTCCAGCATGTCTCTCCTCTGGGGTCTCTGAAAAGGAAGAATCAGCACAAGTGACACCTGGGAAGAGGAGAACAGAGGACACCAGCTGGATTCAGGTAGAGGGCATGACATGAGCAGGTGACGCTTGGCTGTCCGCTGAGTTGCTCAGGTGCTTCCAATGCTGCCAACTCCATGTTTCAAGCCCCAGCATGGGGTCTCCACCATGGCTACATGTTGCAATCACGTGGGGAGTTCAAAAGCTACTGGTGCCTTGGCCGCCCCCAAATTAAGTCAGAACCTCTGGATGCAGGCATCAGTATGTATCAAAGGCCCCCGAGTGATTCATATGCTGGGGAAGTTGTGAGCCACCAAGCTACACCGTACTCTTATCACCAAAGTTTAAATGAGAATCAGCTTCCGTGTTCTTTCCTTTACCAGAAATTTGCAATAAAAAGAATAAAACTTCCAAATGTATGTGGTGTATGGTTTTTTAAAGTCTTTTAATGTGAGGTGAAATTTTATTTCAGTCAAATGCCACAGGAAGTGCTCCCCTTACCTTTCTGTGGGAACCCTATGGTGGCTGAAATAAAGTGCTCCATTCCTGGCAGGCTCGCTGGGGACTGGAAAGTTATAGGTAGCTAGCTGCTGTCTCTGGGCATCTGAGGCTGCTGGGCCCATTCTCACCTATGGAATAACGACAGCTGGCAGTTTCTAGTGTGAGCTGTGTGCCAGGCTGCCACCTTGGTATATGTTAACTCATATCATTATAATAGCAATGAGTTGGGTTAACTTCATTCCCCATTTTGCAGACCAGAAAGCTGAGTCACCTAAAGGTTAAGCAACTTGCTCCAAATCCTGCAGCTAGTAAGTGGGAGCCGGGATTCTAACCACGCAGCCTACTGCCACAATCTGGGCACCTAACTAGTATGCTACCCTACCTCTGAAGATACATCCTTGTTTCCCACATAACTGACTAGCCAGGCCACCAACTCCAGCTTCTTCTCTACATGGCCTTATAGTTCTGCTGTCTGAGTGCCTTTGCTTTTTAACGCCCTGATTTTGAATACTTAAAGAGGCACTCGTGTTAGCTTTGCTTGGGTCAGATGTCTTCCTCTGGTTGTATCACTGGAGGCAGTTTGGTGCCACAATACTATACGATCACAGTCATTTTATCTGCTGGACTGTAGCTCTGTGCACTGGGAGATGGGTTGTGTTGGGTGAATACGAAGCAGAATAGGGAAGATGGCTCCCTCTAAATTGTGGTTATCCCACTAGGCTTTCAGCCTGAAAAATAATACAAACCACTCATGACATCCTGGAAACTCCTAGCAACTATATGGAGTTCTTCTGTCACTGTCCTTTTTAACCTGTGTGACCTTAAGAAGTTCTCTTAACCTCTCTGAGTCTTAGTTTTCTCATCTGCAGAATGGAAATTATAGTAATTTAAAATAGGGGTCTAGTTTATAATTTTCAAAACATCGAAGTAGTTTATTCAGTACTGGGTATCAAGCGGTGAACAGTGGGGAGCGGAAGGAGAGATATTGGTGGTGTAACATAGAAAGTATATGGGGGTCCATGTCTTGGTTGAAGGTGCCCCATTATCTGGTGAGATCATGTTTGGGAAGTGACTCTAATCTCCAAAAAGATTATATTTCAATCCGAGACATGGAAGAGCAGTAGAGCCTGGATGAAGAGCTAAGTAGACAAGACCAGAAAGGGGATGGTCCCTGAATGTGGGGAAGGGCTGGGCAAATCCTCAGGCTAATTAGGGTCATCACTGGAGCAGGCATGGCCAGCATCGAGAGGGCTGGGACCGGTGGGATCAGAGCTGGAGAATGGACTGCTTCACGTCAGGAGGGATGAAGGTTGATATAGAGGCCAAGGGTGCAAAGCCCAGAGTTCAAATTGGGAAATGAAATCCAGAACAGGTTGGGGGTGTAAATTTAGAATCCCACTGAAGAGTGGCATTAAATGTATGGAATTACAGTTATGAAAATGTATAGTAGATTACATTTCTCATTCTGGGTTTTGGGTTGTTGAATCTCAAAAACTTTTTTGTTATCCACGTAAATCCAGAGTTAAAGGACTTGTCTCTCATGTCCCACTCCAGACCTACTGAACCAGAAACTCCGAGATGGGCACAGCAATCTGCTTTAACATGTCCTGTACATGATTCTAATGCAAGTTAAATTTGAGAATTGCTGATCTAGAGCTGTAATGTAATACAAGAATTAGTAGTCACAAGTGGCCACTTAAATGTAAATTAACCCAAATTAAATACATTTAGAAATTCAGTTCCTCAGTTTCAGTGGCCATATTTCAAGTGCTTAATAGCCACATGTGGTTAGTGGTGTTGTCCTATACAAATGTAGAACTTTTCTGTCACCACAGAACATTCTATTGGACTGCCCTGGTCTAGAGCAATAATTTCCTCACCCTTTCAACTCTGTCTACAACTCTGTCAGCCTAGAATGAGCTTTGAACCTGGAACTTTCCTCCAGTCTAATCTCCACAATATTACTCTAGTTGTCCCTATTAGAGATGACTTCCCAGGTCTTTATTTACAAGATTGCGTCTCATCTGCCAGTTCTGATCAGTAGATACTGCTTCCTGGAGCATTATATTGAGAAAGATGGGGAAGCTGTTACCAGACTCGGGGGAGAGCCAATGTATGTCAGCCAAGGGGAGGTGAGGTGGCTGCGTGCTGCTGTCTGTCAGGTTCATACCAGGATACTCCAGCTGTGTAAGATGCCAGGCAAAGGGTGGTTGACCAGGGGACTTTTGGGTGATTCTGATGCTCCCTGGTGAGAGGGACCTGGCAGGCCTGGGATTAGAGAGAGGCAAAAGTGAGGCACTCACCTCGGAAAACTTAAAGGGACACCCAAACTCTATAATTAAGATAAATAATATGTTAATGCAATGATGCAATTTTTAAAGATCAAAATTAGTGCAACTTTTAAAGATTGAAATTAATGCAAAAATGCACGATGAACAAAATATCGAACCTTAATTAAAGACCAGATAGAACTGTGCTGTGTGGAGCCATTTTTTGAAACAGACCAAAAGAAAAATATGTTCCCTTACATATATATGTTTTATATAATTTTATTTAAATTTTTGATATTTTGTTCATCGTGAATTTTCGGGGAGGGGTTAATTTAGGTTTTTAGAAATATTGCACTAAAACATCTTCATGACGGGATTTGGGCTGCTTCCCTCACATTTAACATTTGAGGTAACTGCCTCACCCCACTCTAACCCCTGGCTCTGTCCAAATGTCTAGAAATTTGGAGCTAAATTTAGTGCTCAATTATTGTAATTAGTTTATCTCAGGCTGTCTGGTTGCTCTAGATGGTCTCCAGTCTGTTTTTATCCCTAAATTGCCATGCTTTGTTTCATTTTCAAACCTGTGACTCAATTCTTGAACTAGGTTGGGACAGAAATAAAGCAAAAGTCTGACTCCTCTTTGAGACGCCGAGGAAGAGAGGCAGGGTAGCAGGGATGGAGGGAAGTGAAGATGTTTGCATGTTCCCATCACTTGCTGTCATCACAAAAATGGGAGTATTCTGCGTGCCACGCGCCAGCCGTCTGGGATTCACTGTCCTTTGCTGCCCCCACGTGGAAGGAATAGAAACTCCTAGGGAATCTGTTTCGACAGGAAGAACCCAGAACCAAAGAATGCCTCGGTGGAATAGTACGATAGACAAGCTGTAATCTTAATAGTGAGTTAGCGCCAGCTTTTGCGCTGACTGGGACATGCCAGTGGACAAAACAGACCAAAATTTCTGTCTTATGGAGTTTTAATTCTAGCGCGAGGTGAGGATGGGGAGAGAAAAGCAAGTAAATACCAGATATATAAAGCACTGTAAGTGTTTTAGAGGAAAACAATGGAGGGGCAGAGAGAGTAGGGATCCCAGTATCTGTCAAGAAGTCCCAGACAGAGCAGTGCCTTTGTCCTTGTCCCAGGCCCCCTGCTTGTCTCTCCATACCTCCCAGGCCCTCAGCTGGACTCTCTAGAATCTGGCCAGGAGCTTACATGTCTGACAGAGGCTGTGCCGCTGCCTAGACCACTTGCTGGGTTTCTTAAGTAAGACTTCTGCCTTCTCCACTCCCCCCACAATGTTCTCAGCTTCCTCAAACCTACCAGGGCATTTTACCAGTTTTTCCACCTCCAGGTTTCACTCCAAGAGGGAGGAAAGGGAGGGCTCAGCTTTCCTCCCTCCTCCTCACATTCCCCTGAGGTGAAAGAGAGATCTGGGCTTTCGGTTTCTACTTCCTCTCTGGAATGTCCTTCCACGTACACCCTCCTGATACCCACTTATAATTGGCCTTCCAGTTATGTTCTCCTTAGCCCTGGGGGTGGGGCTTAGGCTCCTGAAGGTCGAGGGGTGTTCTCTGTGTCCTGGAGGCAGATTTGGTTTATGATCTGGCCTAAAGTCCGTGGCCCTTGTCAGTACTAGGAGTTAAAGGAATTTAGAAAACTCGTTCTCTCTTCACAAAGCCTGGCCTTTAAAATTTGTCTTTCTCTTCTTTCAAGGTTTCTATTCTGAGTTTCAAAAGTGAATGTGGACTGCTTTCTCTTTGCATTCCTACTGTAACCATCCTAGTTCCCTCTGAGGCAAATGAATGCTTCTGCAGAATAGGGGGCAGGTGGGGGTGGGGAAGAATGCAGATGACACAAGTAAATGAGTATACTTCAGTATAGATATTATCCCATTACATATACCTGCATGGACTCTCCCTAGACCGTGATCTACTTGATGGCATGGTCACGTTTTCTCAAATATTTCAAATCTAACAGAAGTCAGATGCCAATTATGAAAAGACTTTAAGATGAACTAGTTTCTGGTTTCCTCATGTTGTCTCCCAGTGTGACAGCAGTGAATAGTGCAGCTTCCTGCCCCATCCTAATTAGAAGCTCCAGTTAATTGTTCCTAATGGGTTAAGGTCTTTAATGAATGAAAAATAAAAGAAATTCATTGTTGTTTCATTTATGCACTTTTAAAAACTAATCTTTCCAAAGTGTCCGTGTTTGAGGGAAAATTCCAAAAGGAAGGTAAAAATATCAGGGACCTCTGAATTAGTCATTCATTGAGCACTCACTCCATACAAGGTGCTTTTATGCACATTATCTCTTTTACATGTTATTTCTGGGCAGAGTGAAAAATAAATTTTATCGAAGGCCTTTCTTACACAGGTGTTCTGAGAGCTAGTGTAGATTTTTCTGGCTTTATAAAACTCAGGAAGAAGAGATCCTTTCGGCTTAACCTCATTTTGGCTTTTTTAAACTGATGGATGCTATGGGACTAGAAAGTCTATCACTAAATGGAGCAATAAGCTAGATTTTAAAGAATAAAGGAAGAAAAACCTATACCCCACCCCAACTTTCAAATTTCTTAAGTAATGATGACCTGATACATGTATAGGGCTTTGTCATGCACAAATCACTTTTACCTAAAATATTTAGCCC